CATATACAAAAGACAGATATAGACATAGAAAATGAAATTCCTAGTTTGAGGTATTTTTGATGGAATTATGTGATTTCGTACATTTTAAGTACTTCTGATGACTATTTGGATATATTCAAAACCCAAATCAACTCCCGAAAATGGTGAACCTTTCCCTTTAACATCTATTTATTTATTCTTCATGAATCTAGAAGAAATTAGATCCTTGACGATATGATGGAAAATTAAAAAAAATCACATTGAAACAAACTAGAATGTATTTTCTTCATGATTTAAGAGAATGAGAGCTGCTTCAGCTTTGTTTGGCTGGTGTTGTATTAAATAATATAATATCAGAAGTAAGTTGAAAGTGGTAGCAATATTTGCTATGTTGTGATGGAAATATTTAGTGTCTGCCATAAGTTCATGCTTTTCGATCTGATACATTGAGATTTGTAATTTGATTTTAAAAGTTATGTTTCTTGAGACATCAACTTTTATTCTCTTTAGAAATATAATTATGTTCTTCAATCACATGTTATATGACATCATCACTCATTCTATGTAATAATGCTTATTGTTCATTATTTGTTGCTCTGGTTTGAATATTTAATTTGTATATGAAACTTATTTTTCTTACTTACAATTATTTATTTATTGACTTAATAGGCCATTATTTATCATTATATTTATGTGGTCGATTATAACTGATTTATTTTATAATGTTAAAATGTATTTTTATTTCGAATCTCTCATTATTGTTTTGAACTTTGATGTAAAGTCCAAAGCATGATGACTGCTTCTGGCCCCTAATTACTATTTTTGACTGATTTGTGTATGAAACAACCTTTCCAACAAACTTTCTGAGAGTTTCAAGAAGGCTAGGAGGTTTTTACTAGATTTTTACCTCAATTTTGACAAAACCTCCATAAATTTAGTATCATTGAATTTATACAAGATGGGAAATTGAAAAGTCAAGGACACTTCATCAATAATAGTGAAGTCAGCATATATAATGTTATAATTTCTATTATTTTAATTCAATGCCATTCTCTACTTATTTGTGAATATTTCAAGGCAGATATAATGGTTTAAACTGGGAATTCATACAGAAAACCAGACATGTCAATTATAATATACAGCTAGCATCAATAACTTGCTTAATTCATTTATTGTTGCAATACTTGTAATGGTGAATATTTTTTATCTTTAATATTGATTAAAATTGATACAGATATGTTTATTTTATTCATCTCTGGACAATAAACAAGGGCCTTGTGTGTTACAGTATGTGCAGTTACAACAGAATAGGCTATCGTCCTGTCAACAATTTTCCCTTTTTGCACACTGCATGACGTTCCTCGCCTTCATTAGCCAAATCTGAGGCAAATACAAATGCATTATTGTGTCACATAACATACTGGAAGACGCCATGATATTCATGGTAAGTAAATTTCCAGAACATAACATGACTTCACTTGATATTTCCGATCTCTGATATATTTTTGGTGAAATTGTAAATCCGTCATGAAGTTTCGAATGGTGCAAAAATAAAATGTCCTTGTAAAGACGTCGCCCTCTGATACCTCGTGAAGAAATTACAGAGCTGCAACATTCCTATCCTATAGTCGCAATTTAAAAAGTGCAAGAGAAAAATTAATGAAAAACACGACGATCTTCTGATGTAGAACTCGACTAGGGATAGGTGTGGTCTGGAATCGACTCACATCTGTAATAATTGAATTCTAAACACGCAGAACATATCGAAACCATGCTCCAAAAACTAGTTAATGCCAATCTTTAAGTTAAACTAAAAAGTGAAGAGAAAAAAAGATTTGAGTAGAATCATATTAGATAGTGTGTAAAAGGGTAATCACAAATTGATTTTAATCTTATTTCAAGGCTTTTTTCTACATTATCTTGTCAATAAAGTATGAACGTACAATATTCAATTATTATCTCTATAGAAAATTGATTATTCAATATGAAACGACGATATTATAATGGGGAAAAAATTCAATTTGTATTTGAAGATGCTCTTCAGTAACACTAGGCCACTTACGATTCAGATTCACGAAAAAAAGATTTGATTTGTTGCAATATTCTGGATTTATGTACTATACCGCCATTAGCTTTTAGATATACCATGTCAACAGTTTAACGCACTACCAATAAAATAAAAACACCCACGGAACAGCGTTTGAATCATAATGTCATAAGAATATATAAATCAGATCCTTCATTGAAATTTGCTATAGATCCTTGATTTCAGACACAAACAACATTCGAAAATATGACTATTTCCTTTATAAAAGATAATGACTGAAATGACCTTTATAGTGTTTCTGGTCTGATAAACCGCGTCCGGAACGAAAAATATATCATAGAATCTATAAACCGAATGGGATAAAAAAAAATGCTGGTCTCCATATTGATGACCGTTGACTATCGCCGCTTTTGATATTTGACTTAAGTACTTCCAACCGTTTTTTGTTTTGTTTTTGTATTTCAACACCTTCAGACCGTTATTAACATAATAACTGGCTGTTTATGATGTAACGGAAGTGACAACAGTTGAGACATGGTATGTTCTGTTTCAATACTGAAAAGTGTCAGGAATATCTGAAAATGAGCTATATCGGCTGACTAAAACATTTGTGACTAAACAATAGCCTATATGCGTACAGCAATTTTACCTTTGATATATACCTTATGACTAAGTTTGGTCAAAATCTTACATTTATGATGGGAGTTATCACAAGCCAAATCAGGTCTTACAATCATAACGTTCCTATACTTCAAGATTAATGTGAAGACGCTATTGCACATAGAAATCGACATGAATATCGATAGAATCCTTTTTGACATTTCATGATTAAATCTGTTAATCATACTCATCAGGCCTACTATAACTAGTTTAACATTACATAAGATATAATTATGTCTAGATACGGCTAATTGAATAATATACAGATAGCAGAATCTGTTAGTGAATATCATATCTTTCCCAATCTTGACAATCTATAAATAAACATCTAACAAAGATGAAACCGTTAATCAGTCTCTACTTGGAGATTTTGTTGATATTCAAATGAATTTTGTTCGACATATCCGAGAAATATCAAGTTCATCTTTTATATTCCATTAGACTTTAACAATAAACAATAAACGGAATGATTGTATCTTGTAATCAATTGAATGGAATATCTGTATCTTGAAACCAAACGAATGGAATATCTGTATCATGTAATCAGTCAAATGGAATATTTGCATCTTGTAATCAATCGAATAGAATGTCTGTATTTTTTAATCAATCAATTGGAATGACTGTATCTTGTAATCAATTTAATGGAACGTCTGTATATTGTAATAAATTGAATTGAATATCTCTATCCTGTAATCAATTAAATTGAATATCTGTATCCTGTAATCAATTGAATGGAATGACCGTTTTTTTGTTTTCAATTCAATGGAACGTCTACATTTTGTTTTGTAATCAATTGAATGGAATGCGCGTATCTTGTAATCAATTGAATTGAATGTCTGTATCTGTATTCAATTAAATGGAATGACCGTATCTTGTCATCAATTCAATGGAACGTCTACATTTTGTTTTGTTGTCCATTGAATAGAATGTATGTTACATGTAATCAATTATTTGTGTCTGTCTGGTTATCAAGAGAATGCAATGTATGTGATATATAATCAATTATATGGTATATGTATCTTGTAATTAATTGAATAGAATGTTTATATTTTGTAATCAATTGAATAGAAAACTGTATCTTGTAATCAATTGAGTGGAATATCTGTATCCATGCATTCAATTCAATGGAATGTTTGTATTTATTTGTAATCAATTGAATGGAATGTTCGTATTTGTAATCAATTGAATGGAATGTTTGTATTTGTAATCAATTGAATGGAAAGTTTGTATTTGTAATCAATTGAATGGAATGTCTGTTAAGATGTTTTTATTTTGTTCATTTCGTAATTACAAACTACAGGGCACCAAATTGTGACAATTTGGGAGAAAATACTGCATTTACTACTTGCTCAAGAGAGTTGAAAATAAACCATATATATATATATATAAACGTTAACAAACTATAATCACAAAAACATTATTTTTGGTCCATTAATGCCGATGCAATTCAACGATCAATAAATTTTTTTAGGAAATTCTCACGAAGTCGCTTGACCACCTGTAGAATGTTCTTCATCTCTGGCCAACAAAAACTAGAACATGTCACAAGAGCCATGGCTCGTTTTGTCACATAACTAATTATGCTCAATAACAGCTTGACCGTCTTACTTATACGTTTGATTTATATTAGGCCCATATTCACGAAAATGGGACATGGAAACCGTATCTACTAAACGGGAACTTAAGTTGACTTGCTGACCGCAAGCTAAATTCAGGACAAAACACAGCACAAATACAATTATCCATTTCCCATCCGTTGATTTTCGCAAATACCGACCAGCTTCGATGAGTTTTTTCCCCCATCATCCTATATTTCGTCTGCTAGCTTCTGGCAATGGATCCATTGAGCTTGTCTTGTCATCTGACCAGAAGCCGGATAAAGCAATTGCTAGGACCAAATGCACCGAGAAAATGCCCGCCTTCCTCGTATCAGTATTGGTCCTTTCCAATGTTGTAGCCATTTCAGGTTATACTGAAGGGATTTTCTTCCTGGTCAGTGCTTTAGTGAAACATGAAAAGAATCGAAATTTGCCTATTAGACTAAAAACACTTTAATACATCTTGTTATCAAATGAAAGGAATGTATGTATTTTGTAATCAATTGAATAAAATATCTGTATTTTGTAATCAATTGAATGAAATGTTTGTATTTTGTAATCAATTGAATAAAATGTCTGTATTTTGTAATCAATTGAATGGAATGTATGTATTTTGTAATAAATTGAATGAAATGTCTGTATTTTGTAATCAATTGAATAAAATATCTGTGTTTTGTAATCAATTGAATGAAATGTCTTTATTTTGTAATCAATTGAATAAAATATCTGTATTTTGTAATCAATTGAATGAAATGTCTGTATTTTGTAATCAATTGAATGAAATGTCTGTATTTTGTAATAAATTGAATGAAATTTCTGTATTTTGTAATCAATTGAATGAAATGTCTGTATTTTGTAATCAATTGAATAAAATATCTGTATTTTGTAATGAATTGAATAAAATATCTGTATTTTGTAATGAATTGAATAAAATATCTGTATTTTGTAATGAATTGAATAAAATATCTGTATTTTGTAATGAATTGAATAAAATATCTGTATTTTGTAATGAATTGAATAAAATATCTGTATTTTGTAATCAATTGAATAAAATGTATGTATTTTGTAATAAATTGAATGAAATGTTTGTATTTTGTAATAAATTGAATGAAATGTCTGTGTTTTGTAATCAATTGAATGAAATGTTTGTATTTTGTAATCAATTGAATAAAATGTATGTATTTTGTAATCAATTGAATGAAATGTCTGTGTTTTGTAATAAATCGAATGAAATGTTTTATTTTGTAATAAATTGAATAGAATATCTGTATTTTGTAATAAATTGAATGAAATGTCTTTATTTTGTAATCAATTGAATGAAATGTTTGTATTTTGTAATAAATTGAATGAAATGTCTGTATTTTGTAATAAATTGAATGAAATGTCTGTATTTTGTAATAAATTGAATAAAATATCTGTGTTTTGTAACCAATTGAATGAAATGTTTGTATTTTGTAATCAATTGAATGAAATGTTTGTATTTTGTAATCAATTGAATGGAATGTATGTATTTTGTAATCAATTGAATGAAACGTCTGTGTTTTGTAATCAATTGAATAAAATGTCTGTATTTTGTAATAAATCGAATGAAATGTTTTATTTTGTAATAAATTGAATAAAATATCTGTATTTTGTAATAAATTGAATGAAATGTCTTTATTTTGTAATCAATTGAATGAAATGTCTGTATTTTGTAATAAATTGAATGAAATGTCTGTATTTTGTAATAAATTGAATGAAATGTCTGTATTTTGTAATAAATTGAATGAAATGTCTGTATTTTGTAATAAATTGAATGAAATGTTTGTATATTGTAATCAATTGAATGAAATGTCTGTATTTTGTAATAAATTGAATGAAATGTCTGTATTTTGTAATCAATTGAATGAAATGTCTTTTGTAATCAATTGAATGAAATGTCTGTGTTTTGTACTCAGCGGAGCATCCTATTATTTCTTCCAAATAAAGTATTTTTCATCATATATCCTATTGAAAGGTTTCTATCATATACCACATAGCTCAAGGACTGGCATGGGAATTATTTGAGTGGAAGTAAATTGGAACTGGCGGCTATTTTCCGATCCGTGTATTCTGGTTTCCTTTGGTTACCTGTACATTATTATCACATTCACTTAAAACCATGAAAGTTATTGAGATTTTAGTTTATCTGGTTCTATACTAGTTAACAATCATGTTATTTTTATAACGAGCTATTTGATTGGTCTTATCAGTAAATTGTATTGATCCACCAGACTCACTGTCGTATGTTTGATATCCTAGTCCATTATATCTCTCTAATGTTCCATACAAATCCGTTGGAGCATTTTATTCTCGTATCAGGAAATTGAATTTTTTTAGAAAACAAGGTAAGGTGAAATTTAATTTGGGATAAAACTTTACTTGTCACGAATTTGGTATAAGGTTCTTTATCTTCTACTTGTGATGAAACAACGTTGTATTTCGGATTTATTTTCTAATTCTAAGCCTAAGTTTTGATATGATTTTAATACTTCGTCCTGCCAGTCTGTACAGGTTTGTATCTGGACGCGACTATTATTTGGTTTTCAGGTATATATAGTTTAAAGTCAATAGATTAATTATGGAATCTTATGGTTTCATTCGATCATTTTTTAAAAAATATTTTAAAAATTTAAACTTAATCGACCTCACCGCGGAAAGGCAGAGCTCAACCAAGAAAACTCGCTACATTTTAAAGTATTTCATTTGAAGAGAAACTATACATACTTACTGCGTGTTGAGGAAATGTTGTGCAGTAACTCTTCATCGTATTTTTACAAAGCTTTACATATAGGGTGCCAGTCCGGTGCCTCAAATGTGTGATTTTGGTCGCACTTGTTTGGACGAGAGGTCTTGATATGCTTTGGTATATATTTTCAATTCAACTTTTCGTTTTTGAAATAGCAACACCTTACATAACGGAGCACAAACCAAAATAAATTAAATATCGTTATGTTTTAAAATCTTGCTGGTATATCACAGGTCAGATAGTTTGGACCTTACAAAGAAGAATTTTCTTCAAACAAGAAACTCGAGAATAGGCAGATTGTATATCAATTATAAAAATTGATGAAAGTAAAATTTTAGAAAGAATATTTGAATGTAATATTCTGGTGGGATGGACATTTTCCTAATGGTTAACACGAATTTCAATTATACACTTTACAGATTTATTTAGTATATTTCATGTCAGATAGAATGGCGAGCAAAAATAATCCAGATTAGGCATTAATGTAGGAAACATGCTGAAATTAAAAAAAGCTATAAAAAGAGAAAAAGATATAATAACATTAGCGTTATCTTACCTCAATTCAAATTTCATAACGTGGCCTTCCTCAAATAACCAAAATACATTGCAGAAAAGATGAATTGTAAAGGTTATGCCATTTTTTTCCGGTTTTATTTCAGATTTTTAACAAAACTTGCAAGAAATCTTTTCTAAAAATAGTTTTAATCAAAAGGGTCGTTCTAATCTGGTGCACAGATTGACATTTACAGTATAACATTTCAAAAAATGCAGTCATCTTCCTGTGAACGATCTTCTTCCAATCAGATAAAAAGATAGCTGATATTTCTCATTTCGGAGATCTCTGTGAAATATTTCATTTATCTTATAGTCATTGCAAGTTTAGAAAGTGTTGATATGATGTTAAAAAGCACTAATCGGCATTCTCGGGTTTGATTGTAAATAGTTTTCAGAATTACTTAAACTGTGAGAAAATCACATAATTCCTTCAAATATTCCCCACATCACGAATTTTAGGTTTTATGCCAATCTTTATTGGTTTCTCCAGTGCCTTAATATTGTATATCATGTTAACAAGGCCTCTTTTAATATGTTTTAGTTTGAAACAGTTTCGAGTCGCAAAAAACGCTCGGTCAGATACCAAATTGCATGTGACAAAAATCCAGCCAGTCAACGTAAATTTAAAAATAATTTCACTTAGAGAACACGAATTGAGTTAATGATTAATAGAAAATACATACAAGTGTATTTTAATCATTGCCCTATTATAATAACATCTGTTGTTTCAACATAAGGCTAAAAGGGAAGGTGAATTAAAACTTCCAGCCAAACTTCAATGTCTCTGGAATATTAACAAAAAGGGCGTACTACCAAAAGCCCTCCCCGCAATGTATATATAATATGTTTCCTAGGGGGTCTATAATCTGACAGTAAAGAATAGATAAAGAGATATATTATGAATCAGGATTATGTAGAGAGATATTATAGTATATGTTATGACAATGATCTATTATAATTACAAAGATTAATATAGTTTTATTAATAATGAATGTTCAATCAGGAAATCAATACAGGCTGTATGTAGAAATCTTTAAACAGTGAAGCAGGTGTATTATATTATGATATACTAATGTAACTCTAATTATCATTGCTAATACATATTATATTAAAAGGCGGGTCAGGTGGCAGGAGTTGGGTTTGCTTGTAAATTGCCCATAATACAATATACAATATGAAAAGATTCTAGCAACTTTTGTTTATTTAAACAGCTGTCCTTAATCTCTCAAATTGCAAATAGAAATTCTAGACCAAATTCGAATGATGATCAGCATAGCATTTTTAGTTGAAATTAAGGTCAAATACATCTATGACCTGACCCCCACCTCCTCTAACATAGAACATCATGCTTAATATCTTCTCGCATAAATGCCCCCACCCTCCACAAAAGGCAAAAAATTATCTTCATTTGAAAACAAACTGACCAGCTGATATACAAAGTATGACGTATCTCGTACATTAATGTATCAGATGTTTAAGTCTGCTGAATGTTATACAGAAATTTATTACGTTCTATTTTCAGATGTGTAACCAAACCTTAACAGCGCCTGGATAGGAGTATATTTTAAAAGAAGGCATAAAAAATCACCAAATATAGATATTGTGATATATTATATAATTCCTTTCTCCGACAGTTAAATGGGTTCATTCTCTTCCCAACAATTCATAAGAAGGTGACAAAACGTCAATAATAAGAGAAGACATCAGAAAATACCTTAGTTTAACATGCAACAAGCCTGTAAACACTGGGATTACAATGATATTTGTCGCCTGAACGACTGGACGAATTCTAGAGTGAAAATAGATATGAATAACAGTAGAATAAATATGGTGATTTAGATGTCTTTTAATCGTTAATGTGATATCTGACTACTGCATTGATATTTCAGTTTATGAAAATAAAATCGATTGAAAATTGATATGATAAAAATGGAAAAGGAAAAGCTTTGATGGATGGAAAAGATAATAACGTACGTTACGTAGTGGAGAGGTATGACCCGACCCAAACGGAAGGGTTGCTGCACCGTTATACATCCCCGCGAAGACAACGCCCGATTTATCCTATTAGCCGTCGTAATGGTTATTTACATGGCTGTTGGTGCGTCGATTTTCATGGTCCTAGAACGAGACAATGAGAAAAAAGAAAAGGCGGATTACGATGCACATGTTGCAGAATTCAAACGTAAATACCCACAAATAAATGATACAGATCTGGAAGCTTTATTAGCTTTACACAGCAAAGCAGAAGCAGCTGGTTTTGTTGGCAACCGACGAGACCGATGGGATTGGCCGGGATCGTTTTATTTTGTTGGAACTGTTGTATCTACAATAGGTAGGATTGAATTTTAGATTTTAATACTTTTATATAAGTTTTTCCTTGATTTATTGAATGATACCGTCGTACAATGGCGTCTAGTCCGAAATACCCGCCTCCATTCCACAACTGGCACAATGAATACCAGAAACTGGAATAGATGCAGACGTTTCCGACTAAATCACGTCATGATGGGTTGAACATTTTGAATAAAGGGAGTTGACACATAAAAAAAAGTAAATTAGAATGTTGCACTATCAAAATACTCATACAACGACGGAAATAACAAAATCATGTAAAATAGATGCGTAAATATTACACAGTACGCATTATCCTCTTCGTAATGATTATTTAAATAACTGTCGCAAAAATTTAGATATAAAGTTATCCTCATTCTCATAACAAAATAATAACTAAATGCTGAGTCAAGGGTAGTAAAACAGAAACTGCTTACTTTACAGTAAACATTATCACGATATCACAAAGATCCTTAGATATCATTAGTAAATTTTGCTATAATGACGTAATATAAATACAGTTGAAGCATTTCCATAATAAATTGAACCACAAATATCATTCTGATAACAAAACTGCATGATGCAAAAACAAGCAATACAACTAAAAAATACCCGAAAACTCATCCACTAGATTTAGTGGTCGAGAACTAACTTTAAAATTGAAACAGGATTACTTGACTTCAAAATAAATGTCATGTAGGAAATTTTACGTTCGTTATGGAGAACTCCTTGATAAATACAGTAAATCTGCTTCTTGTATTTTACTTGATTTGTTTTGTCAGGCATGAATAAATCTGGTTTGTATCTCATGATTTTACCATTATTGGTTGCGGGTGACGAAGCAGACCATCATTTCTCTTTTCGAAACATCTGATAGTACTTCCCTTTGGAAGAGTCCTTTACAATGCAAGTTTTACTCCCGATATTTTCGTTCTTTGAACGATTTTTGATAGGCGGAATTGTGCTGCTTGTGCGGAATATTATTACAACGTTTTTAGTATAATGCAGGTTGTAATGTTTTGAAGAGAATTTTATTAGTTATTGCCCTTGAATGCACAACAAAAAATAAACTGCATGACCTATGACCATAATATGATGACCTTATTGAGAATATGTCAAACGACCACGTGGATATGTTGTTTTAGCTTTTAAACAGATTACTATCATCCGAATAACCGTGTTTTTTAGAACATAGCAGGCTGTTTGATCTAGTTATTTCAGGTATTCACTGATGTTTTTTTAAGTGATCAATCTGGTAAAAAGGAATACGTTTTTATCAATTATAATTGATAGCTACGGGTAAAACTTAGACGTTTGTAATGAAAAACAAAGCCTTTGATGATTTGTTTTATACGACATTATACTGCACGGCCCACTCGCTGTACTTTGTCGTAAAAACATTCATGCTATCCGGACTATAGAAGTGCATGAGCTGAAAATTTATTTTTAACAATGCCGAGTCCAGTCTTTCTGAAAGACCCTGTAACCGAACTAATCCAGTTATTTGAAAGTCTTTTTTTTATTACCACGTGTCTATGAGAGATCAGATTCTGTTTTTCTCGACTTAATTTTAACATCTAGAATATAAATAGAGGATTTTAGTTCTTTTCATAACTTGTATGGTACAGTAGACTATAGTCCGTTCTTTGTCATCCGAGTATGAAATAGCAGCGATTTCCACCTATAAAACGTATTTAATATTTTCCTATCTTAAAGATTTCATTATTTTTACCAAATCAAGATAAACCGGACGGCTATATTTGGATATTTTATTATAAGAAAACTTTGATTAAATGGTCAACCTGGTAAATGTGAACCAGAAACCTAGGGCAGTTAGAATTTCCTCTTTGGTATTATACTACTAATTAAAGTTCTTGAAATAGAGCATTCTCACGTTAATGAGAAAACAGAAATATTCGAAATAGATCATTGACGGTTACATTAGATAAACTAAGGTTCTCAACAATGTCATTAAGCCAAGCACTTGCTATTGTTGAAAATAATATTTTCGTATGCTCACAAGTCTTCGAAAAAGTGACTTTTTGCTCAAAGAGTAAAGTTTCATTGCATTAAGAAAACTATTTATGATAAAAACACCACTATCGATTGTTTGTTATTTTGTATCAGGACATGAGAACATTATTTAAGAGGTATATTGTTATTAGTTTGAATATTTATTTCGATTTTCAACCACCTACATAGATTACTTCAGCAATTACTATCTCCATGTCAGACTTGAACCTACTCTAAAATTATTCTTTGTACAATTAGCTTTATCGAGCAGTCTTTTCAATCATTATCTAAATCCAAATATGGTTCATCCATAACTAATTTACTATTTCATACTTGGATTTAAATTTGACGAAATCTAATATATTGATTATTTTTTACATAATTCGTTTCGAAAAATCGATTTAATTGTGGTACAGATCGTCTTTTATAAATGTCGAATAACCTGATATAATATAATAACGTTACTTATGTAATATCAGGTAAATATTACAATTATAAAGCTTGTATAATATTGACGAGGTTTGTAATAGTTTTACATAATACTTTACACTATGTAACTTTATCTATAGGGAATTCAGAGTTTCTGGCCTTTGAAAGTTTATTGGTAACACCTATAGCTTCTTATCAAGCTAAAAGAGGAATTTGCTTGGTACAGTTCACTTGACAGTAAGATTTAATATTACAGTGAACACGTTCGATTGATGCCATGCAATTTCAAGAATCGTCTATAGGTTCTTGACTGGTATATTGCGGATGCCTTTGAACCCAAAACCAAGATCCTTTCAGTGGTAGACCAGTAATATACTTTCCAAAAGGTAACAGATAAATAATGCTTTGGAATGAAATAACAGTCAAAATAACAGGTATAAAATCATAAAATTAGGTTTGACATTCCTGCATGTACAAAAGTAATGAAACATAGGATGCACAATAAATTTACAAATTTCTCAGGCAAATAATAAAATGTAATTTAGTTGTTAAAGCTACAGAATGGTTTCTCAAAGGAAATCACGTTTTCACGATGATTGGGAAACAATACCAGATTGTCTGAAGGGGAAACCATGATTATGTCGGCACACACCTTTCCTCAAGATTGAAAACTGTACATGTGTCTTTTTACAGTCGAAGGCCAATCTCAGAAAATTAATATTAAAATTGTTGTATTTGCAAAATAGTGATCAAGAAAATGACCTTACATTTTCTAAATACACAGTATATTCAATAACTCTTCTAATTCCACCCGGTACTACAACTTTAATGTTATAATGATTATTATTACAAGAAATAATTGCAACTAGAAATTGTTTCTAGATAATCAGATAAGCACAGTTCCAAGGTTCGTAGTGGTCCTAGACGCTTTGAGATCTAGACAGTGTCACGGAGTAGGTCATATTACAATGGAGACCTGTTAATGGCCAGATATTAAATCTGAATATTTCGCAATAGTAGACTTTGGATCTAATTAACCAGTTTATAAAGTGATTGATTATAAGAGGTCAATATACCTGTGGGCATATATATCTAAATATATTATAGACATGAAATTGTAGGAAACTAATCCGCACTGGTCATTAACGAACACAGTCACAGTCGATGTAAAATGAATATTTATGGTTATAAAAGTCCAGTTGGTTTTGAACCTTACGTTTCCTCTGAGAAGTCCCATAAATACCTTTTTTAAACATAAGTTGTGTATAACAACACACAGTGGTGTTCGTGGTACAGACCCTTATCTTCTATTAAGGGTTACAAGGAAACCCAAGGTACTGAATTAGGTGGATGTATGAACATCTTTTGTATGCTACTTACTTCACTGAGAGAATGAAACCAGGTTGAATCACACAGACCAATATTATGATTTTAAGTAGGATTATGAGGTTGCAACATTGCGATTAAGTAATTCTACAGAAGCAAAAGCACAGGCATGGAGGGTTATCATGAACACAATTATAGAATATAATTATAAAAATATACATAAAATTTAATTTTATATCTTAATTGAAGCAAAGTATTATTCAAGATAATATCTATTCATCAGAGCCTAAATACGAATATATTAATAATATATATATAACTGTTGTAGTCCTCGTCTATTCAATCTGCATTATATTGATAATCTAACCTGATACATGTGACGCCATACTGATTATTTTATTCTACTTTAAATCATATGAATAATAGTTAATCCTTACAAAACATGCGTATTTAGATATGAGCTCAGATACAGCGCAGGAGTTTGAGGATTACGAGGGAGTTGTGGTTATCGTAAAAATAGATTCAATACATCAACCATATATCATGATTAGCGATGATGAGATCTGAAGAATTATCTTTAAACTATAACCTTTTAGCACCTTACATCTAATAGTCCAAAATAGTCTCTTTGTCATGGATACAGTTGTTTTCGCTAACCGCCGGACATTCTGTTAAGCAGTTTTCAAAAACATCTTCCTCCAATGCGTAGCTTTTAACATCAGCAGTCTGCAGGTATGCAGTAATCTTACCCCAAAATATTCTTCTTCCATCATTAGGCTTCTGTCAGTAGGCGTCCATCAGTATCGCAAATATTCTACTATTAATAGGAGCCTTTGTGGTTCCATAGTTATAAACTATTTCATCGTGCAATGTAACGTTCAGATGTAGCTTATTCACGTTTCACACTTTTTGAGCAAGATCTTTCACGCTTTTCACGTTTCACCATGACCTAAAAAGACAAACATAGGCATTTTTGTATGAAACTATGAAGAAGCCAGAAAGCGCATATTGACATCCTACCTAGAGTATCCCATTTCCGGAACCGATAACTTGGAAAAACTAACGCAACTTGAATATAGGCTACATATACAATTAAAATTGTCTATTGCATGTCACTTTGAACTGATTAAAATTAAGTAAAACACGTGTTTTTAATTATTTAATTGGCTTCCAGTGGATGCATAATTCCAAGCATTTTTGTCTGTTGACTGTTGGCATGTGTTTGTAAGATGT